TTATAGACCGGACTAAGGCCGGCTGTGCGTGCACAGCCGAGTCCAATCTAGTATATATATATATATCACATTTGACAAAAAGATCAATTTTATTTTCTAGTCAAAAACTATCAACTGAATAAATTGAAAATTGTATTCAAATATTATATTTGGACCCAAAAAAAAAAAAAATCAAAATAAAAAATCGTACCTTCACTTATGCTGTCGCACTATATAAACAAGGAAGAAATGCTAATGTTCCGTTACGAAACTATTCTATCAGAGTTTATAACCGTTATATCGTATAATCGCCAGACGGTTACAAACCCTGACGAAATAATTACGTAACGAGAGCCCTTATAGTTGGACATCAAAACCAGGTGCATTTTAGGCTTTTAGGTTTTAGCATAGCTCCTCGACCCGTTTGTACAGTCTTCTTCCCCACAAGGAGTTCAAAAAAACAAAACAATCAAATATAGAGACATTGTGTTTTCATTATTTTATTCAAGCCATCCCATGTTTCCACATTCCTGCTTGGTACCACCACAGGTTCAGTTACTCTGTACAATTGTTGTCTTTTTTTGAACACTAGCTACAGTTTTTGAGTGATGCTTAATTAACTTCAATTATTGTCAAACAATGTAAAAGTTCTCATTTTTATTTATTTATTTTTCCATCGTTCGCTCTCTGTCTGTGTTGTTGGCTGTCTTTTTGTTTCCTTAAAATGGGCTTTCTTGAATCTGAATGCTTCATGTGAAAGTTCGTTCATCCCTTTATTGCCAAGTTACTCTATTTGTCCGTCGTACGTAAGTTTGGCTTTTGTTTTGAATTCTGCGAAATTCCTAGGAAATAATTGGTTCCGGAGATTGTCTTGTTCTTGCTGTAATCGGTGTTTTGGGGGTTTTAGATTTGAATTAGGAGTTGGGTTTTTGCAATTTTCTTTTTCTTTTTCCCTTTCAAATATTTTCTGAAAATATTTTGTTATGCTTTAGATTTTTAGAGTAAGATTGGCCTTTTATTGTCATTTGCTCTGATTCTTGTTATAGAATTTATTTATTCTAAGTTCGACAATTCATGGTTTTGCCGCAGGATTTAATGGTGACACAGTGTGGTGTTGGATTGCTTTGTTATTTCAGTTAGAGAAGTTCTTTGATGGTATAATGCGAAATGTCTATCCTGCTGACTGCAGTCTTAGGGTGGTAAAGGGGAACTTTTTAGTTTATCATCATTATAGTTATCATATTTCATCAATTTTCGAGTCGTGGGGATTTCTTGAATCTGAGAGCGCATGACGAGGTCAACATTGGAAATGTTAAAACATCGGTTATGCTAATTTGGCTCCATTCTCCCATAAACATTTCGCGAGCGAGGTCTTGGAAATTGTTGAACTGTCAGCTGTCAAAGTGACACTTGTCCACTTACGTTTTTTGCCAACACGGAACGAAATCAGATTCACCACGAATTTATTAGGACTTTTTGTGGTAATATATAGCCACTCGAGGGTTAACACGAGAACGGTTTGTTTACGCTCCAAAGAATGGGGCATTCTGCTGCAGTTTGGGACCATAAGGCTTCACTTGAGTTGACAAAAGATTGGAATGGAATTGAACAAGTCGTGCTTCGAAACCCTCATGGGGCGTCGGCAAAAGTAAGATCGGTTTATTGTTTGCTATTAACGTGGAATTGTTGCGTTTGTAGAAATTCTGATGTTATGTTCAATTTAACTGTCTTTCCCTTTTTTGTAAGATAGTTTCTGCTGTTGGTGTGATCAGATCTGTTTAGTTTGGTACGGAATTTTCCTAAAATGTTTGTATTTGTTGTGAATTTGGGGGTACATTTAGGTAAGTCTGCACGGAGGACAGGTTATCTCGTGGAGAAATGATAGAGGTGAAGAGCTTCTGTTCACTAGTAGTAAGGTGTGGTTTATGTCCTAATTCCACACAGATCTTTTCTTGATTTTTATTACTTATTACATATATTGAGGTTTTGCAAGTTATGCGATCCAAGGGGTTAGTGTTGCTTTAAACTTGGAATGTTAACCTGAACAAATGAAAATGTCTTATGGATTATCTTTGTTCTGTTGATATGGGATCAAGGGTACGAGTTTTTAAGGCCAAGGTGTAAATGTGTATACCGTTGGGTAAATTAAATATAATTCACTTGTGTTGTTTGTCCCATTTAAGTTCCAATTCATATATATAGAAGCTATGCTAGCTACTTTTCAGTAGCAAAAGTATAGTGGCTGGGAAGAAATTAAAATCTAGAAAATTTACTTAAAATTCTTATTCGGACATGATAATGTGTACAAGCCTAGCAAATGAAACAAATATAATATTGAGCTTTCCATGTTTGTTCCTTCTGGAGCGTACTTTATCTTAAACATATATTCGCTTACTTAGTTTCTTTACTTAATTTATGTTAATAAAATTTTAATGTTGGAATCGTAAAATAATTGCAGGGCATATTTAAGTCTCCAAAAGCAATGCGCGGAGGAATTTCCATTTGCTTTCCACAGGTATGTTAAGTGAGGTTGCTGATCAACAAAGGAGATCCCATGGTTTCAAATAAAATTTTCTTAGCAACTAATCTATTGATCTTGTTTGTGTAAATTCCATAATACAATGCATTTAATTCCTTGAGCACCCATTTAATATACTTATTTTTTAATCATCATAGTGGATTTTATTTGAGGACCGACTTGCATGAAGCCATTTGAAAACCATCCTCAAAGCCAAATCTTTGATCTAAATGCAGTTTAAAAGGGTAAGTGACTTGTAATTGGTGTTTATTATGGCTATGTTTCAGTTTGGAAACTGTGGTTCAGTTGATCAGCATGGATTTGCGAGGAACAAAATTTGGACCATTGAGGATGATCCTCCTCCATTGCATGCTAGTGATTCTCTTGGCAAATCCTTTGTTGATTTATTACTCAAACCAGCCGAAGACGATCTCAAGTGCTGGCCTCATGGGTTAGTGCTTGCACCTTTACTGACTATTATCTGGAAGATAATTTACAAATATCTTTGAACATTATAGATAAACCCTCGATAAATAAACCTCAAGGCATATTAGCAATATCTTCCATTATTGTATCCCATAGGTGGGTACTTGTTTTGTAAACACGGACCTGAAGGTTGTCTTTGTAATGTGAATGATAACTCATATCTGTAGTTTTCCTTTATTTTGAAGTGAAAGATTGTGCGCTATTTAACAGTAAAGAGGTTTATTGTTCACTGCAGAAGTGGAAAAATGATCTTTTTCCCTGTAGCAGTACCTTAACTTTTGCCCCTTGTGCCAATTATAGTTGTTTAGTTCAGATAATCTTTTTACAGTGTGATTACCGATTGAAACTCATCATTCTTATCCTCCTGGCAGCTTTGAATTTCGTCTCCGAGTCTCTCTAACATCAGTTGGAAACTTGATGTTAGTATCTCGTATCAGGAACATAAATGGGAAACCTTTCAGTTTCTCATTTGGCTATCACACGCACTTGTCTGTTTCTGACATAAGGTAAATTTCAAATCGAGATTTATCATTCTTTAAGTAATTTAGTTTGCACTCTGATTTGATGAGGGGATGATGTGTTTTTTACATTATTCTTTCACTTGGGGGGTTTTGGTACTGTGGATTTGTTTGAACCACACTTTTTTTTTTTTTTTTTCTGTTTTTGACGTTTGTGTGATAATATTAACAGTGAAGTGAGGATAGAAGGTTTAGAAACTCTGGATTATCTGGACAATCTTTGCCAGAAAGAACGCTTTACCGAGCAAGGTGACGCCATTACATTTGAATCAGAGGTAAAATCTTGTTCACTCACGCCTTATTTACTCTGTTTTCGACAAGAAATTGCTGTTTCCAAATTTAGGAGGCTATCAAAATGTGTTCTTGTCATGTTCCCTCCCACAATTATCTACATTTTCTGTATTATTTTGTGGAATCAACTTTCTGGTGCGTTTTACCTTGTACTGATATTTTTTATTTTATTTTTATCTTGTGGTTTTGCAGGTAGACCGTGTTTATCTAAGCTCACCACAGTGCGTTGCTGTTTTGGATCACGAGAGGAAGCGAACATATGCAATGAGAAAGGAAGGGCTACCAGATATTGGTAATCGATAATTCAATATGCATGTGTTTGACAGAAAAAAAATATATATATCAATATATAATGCTTAAGTTTTAATTAGTGGAAGTTAGAAATATGGTTTGTGATCAACTTCTTTGAATATGCACTTGCATTTGGTCAAGTTTCAAACTGTGGAAAACTTGGGGTGCAATATATATATACAGACTACAGTGCCTGGTTCCAATGGGATCTATTTTTAAATGAGAACGTAAGGTTTAATCGCAACAATCCATCTATTTAGATGTAATGAATGTAAATCGACTATAGAAATGAATGTAGTTGTTCTTCTAACTATGCATCGTTGAAATGCAAATGTGCTTCATTCAATGTCTAAACGAGCAGTATATCATATTTGTAACTATATTATTTATTCATTTATTTATTTATTCTTCTTTTGTTTGGTGCATATGTTTGAAAATCCTAACTTTTACGTCTTTTGTGTAGTTGTTTGGAACCCATGGGAGAAAAAGTCGAAAGCAATGGCAGATTTTGGCGATGAAGAATACAAACAGATGCTTTGTGTAGATGCGGCTGCAGTAGAAAAGAACATCACTTTGAGGCCCGGGGAGGAATGGACGGGCCGGATTGAACTTGCAGCCGTGCCCTCTACCTTTTGCTCTGATGATCTCCATCCACAATTCAACTTCTTCTGACCATCATCTGATCAAAATTCAACCAATATATATATAGTAGTGACTCATCTGATAATTACAGAAGCCCATGGTTTTTGGAGATGGCTGCTACCGTTTAGATTCTGTTTGGTTTTGCCTTTTTCTTTTTCTTTTGTTGAAAACCTTGGTTGTAGCAAATCTTTGCAAGGCATTTTAACTTTTTTATGAGAAATAATATTCATATGTTGGTTCATGTGTGGTTGTTAGAATAATCAAATTAGGCTATGTTTGGTAAAACCAGTGTTCTAAAAATCGTTAGACGCTTGCTAGGCGCTCGACCAGCGCCCGCTAGGCGCCTAGGCAGGGTCTAGGCGGCGCCTAGTCGGTGTTTAGAAATCAGTATTAAATATATTATTTTTTATTTATTTTAACTACTTACAAATATACCTATCTCAATTTATAATAAATCTACATTTGTAAGTGTGAATAATAATATTAATATATTTTAAAGAAAACATGAGAGCAAAATAATGTAATTAATATTTAATGCAAGTGTAAGCGTCCGGGTCCGGTTTGGAGTAGATCGATTCTTGTCCTTGCCGGTAGAACGCCGAGAACCTGCAAATAACTCTCACACCGGGGGTT